GCCAAATACTAATTCTTAAGTAGGTAAATGCCAAAGAAAAACGACAACAAGAGCAAGTTGGTGTTTCAGACTAGTGCACACTCGTAAACTTGTATTGGCATAGTTTGTGTACTATCCCTAATCCATAGCGTGATGCAACATACTCAGTCTTTGTTGAATGTCGTAACTTTGTCGTCTGTTCACATTCATCACAATCTCGCCTTCGGTCTCTTCACCAATACCTACTTGCAGGGGTTGCTCAAACAAGCATCGCACCTGGGGAACAAGGAACAACAACCATCAGCTGATAAATATTTAGAAAATTTGTCGTACAGATATAAGTAATGAGTAGCATTGTGATTGGGAAGTAGGGTAGTAATTGGGCAAATCAAGACAGAAAATCGGGTTGATATACGCATTGTCTATGGTTCTAAATGTCTATGTACGTTGTAGCATTAAAGGAAGTGTTTGCATATTAAATTGAATTGAAGAACAATGAATACTATACAAAACATAACAACCCCCAGACCCACACGCTTTACAAAAGCTCCGGATACGAGAGGAGACGGCACAGAGCGGCACTCGATCAAATGAATTCGAAAGAGTCCAATAATACATCAATGCACAATACTGCTAAAAAAACATAAACAATTGAAGGCATATATTAAAATGCCTTTGGACCTCATGCGCGCACATGAATAAGCGTACGTGGTCATACACATGATATCTCGTCTCAAATCATTGACACGGAAATGTCTATATATACGTGCTCATATATAGAACTTGTGGGGCTTGGCTACACACATGATACCAATAGAGTGTGGGAAGAACATGAGGCGGTACTTAACTACGTGGGCGCCCCAACCAGTCCACAGAACCGCCGTCATTGCCACTCAACATACATCGGCATATATTCTATCTCTCCCACACACTCGTTGAATGTGCAAGTAATCGTACATAACATTCATGAGACGTAGCCACAAACCTGGTACCAATGCATGAGGGGAGAATACGGGGCGGTACTCGGGTCTCCCATAACCAGTTCTCGATATTACCGCCGAGAAAATCAAATATATTCTTGTATATACCATTTCTTTCTATCGTATGCACTTCTCACGCAAAGCTCCAATATATCTCCAATATACACGTACGTGATAATTCAAAATGTATATAAAGATTCGCTACATACCTGATACCAATGCGTAAGAGGAGAGTACGGGGCGGTACTCAGCCATGTGGGTTTGTGAGAGCCGTCGAATATGACATCAAACCAGTACGCGATACCGTGGATTGTAGCGGGTTTGTCGTGCTTGAGGTGTATGGGCATCTTAATCTCAAACAGATCCTCTTCCGAACATGTAAGGAAGTCAATTTCGTACCTGAGCAAGTACATATGTCATAAGTGTGTGAAGTGAGGGTCAAAGCGATGAGATAGGTGACGCATGATTAGATGCATCACCACTGACAAGTAACCTATCTGCTGCACTATAAATACAAACATATATTA